AAATCCTAATTTTAAGAATTCTATAGGAGTAATTCAAGCGAGGCAAAAATCACGTGCTCACAATGTCTCCATTTTTCCACATGATTGCAATACCTCCTGTGTTGCCTTGTGCAGCAACCTGAATTAGGTTGTCGAAGCCAAAATCGCTCCTGAGTGTATGGTGTTCCTCCATTCTTGTTTCCAGCAGTGCCACCAGAACTAGCCTGTTGTAATCCAGCATGAACCCAAGGTCCTACGAAAGTCAACATTTCCTGCTCCCCTGAAGTTCCAGATGATGACAATCATTGAGTTATTCCTGATGTACGAGCTCTCCCCCTGGCTGTGGTTCAAGCTCTCCGTGTTCTGTGTTCCTGGCTGGGTCATTTGAGCAGCATTGGCCCAGAAGTGGGTGTACATGGTTGGAACCATCATCACCCCGTATTTGAATAGGGTTGGTGCTGATAACATTCTGATGTTGAAGGAGAATTTCCTCAATTCCTGTGGGCAACGTAAGATGAACCTTTTTTCTCTTCTTTCCTTGAACGCCAGGGTTTTTGGGTTTCTTAGTATTCCATATTCCACTCTTGTTGTTGTTGATATTCCGCTCCCATCTGTTGAGTTGAGTTGTTCTGATTGTTGTGCTCCATCTGAGCATTGTTGTTGTTGTTGTTGAGGGGGATCGGGTTGGGAGTCAACACTGGATTCTCCTGTTGACTTGTTGCCTACTGTAGGAACTGCCATGCTTGGTTTCCTGCGTCATGGGGGCTGTTGTTTGGCTCTATGGAGGATTCCCATTATAGTAGAAAGGAGTTGGGTTCAAGTTGGTTGGGTTTAAGGTGGTGTGAGGGTACTGGTTCTGGGAGTTCCAAGGATACTGGGTTGAAAGGGGGGTATATTGGTGGTGTTTGTTGCATTGGTAGGGCCATCCATGGGTTCATGGCAATGTTGTCCATTCCAATTCGAACCCCCCCCCCCCCCCCCGTTATTATTTGCGTTAGGTAGCTTGGATTTTCTATTTGGATTGTTATGTTTTGGCCATTGAGTTGGAGGTTCATGCTCAGTGCATGTCCCATGAGGCCATATTCCAGCCATGATTGAGGAACATGGTTTGGTGGGAGTGGTGGGGTTGTGAACACGATGTGGTTTTGATTCATTTGCATGGGAGGGGCAGTTTGCATTGGGGTGGGAGATTGATGTTGCTCCCTTATCCACACATTTCTCCTTGCCCTGAAGTATCTCCTATGGTGATTGTTTGTAGGGAGCCTTGGCATTTTTGCTGTTAGTTAACGCAGTATTGCCTGGTTGGGTAGTGTTGTGGCTCATGCAAGGTTTATGCTTGTTTAAATTGTAGGGAGTGTTCCTGGTCTAGGGTGTAGCTAGGTTTAGGGTCTTAGGATCCTCCATTAACAAATCTTTCTCATTAATGATGAATTGATTGGTTGTCATGTCTATGGCTTCTTGTACCGTTTGTGATGGACTAGGTATATTTTTCGGGGGGGGGGGGCATTTAATAGTGATTGGATATTCCTTTTCATTTTGAGTGTTATTAGGGCTGCCGTATTGTTAGGGTATTGTTCGATCTCCATAATGTCCATATTTTGTGCTTTGGGTGAGTTGACCGGCGTGGTGTTCTGGGCAAAGGGGGGGTCATTATTGGTTTGTGTCATAAGGGTTTCAAATTTATTATGGCATGTTATGGAGTTAATGAACGAGGTTGTAGGTTCTTTAATATTATTAATGTGTCTTGGTAAATTGTTCATTAATAAGCCTAATTGGTTTTGATTCTTGTTGCCTATGTTGGGATCGAAATAACATGATGCATGCGGAAACTAACAATACAAAGCTTGATGGACGATAAATCAGACGACAAAAGAAAAATATACTAAACTAAGCATAATAGTTTATAATGGTTTGGCCAATTGATCTACATATGATAAAACTAATATAAAAGAAGAAAAACTATCGAGAGAAAAATCTCCCCTTAAACAAAACTCTTTAATGACTACATTGTGGATTTTTTTTTTTTGTGCTCTGAGAAGTAGAGATCCTTAATTTATGCAAAACTTGTCTTCCAAGAAAAGGATAAGATATATTAAGGAGATTTAATCCTTTTAGGAGTCTTTTTCATTCCTTCAAGAAAGAGAGTCCTAATAGATTAGAAATTCAGGGCAAAATCCTAACAATCTCCCCTTGGCCTGAATTTTCTTGACAAAGTCGATTCACCTTCTTCACATAATCTTCAGCACTGTTGCTTGCCATGATTAAAAATCGGTATAGGTTGAAAATTTTGGTATTGGTTAAAAGAAGTCCAAGTATGGGTTAAAAGGAGCCCACGTGTTAAGAATAAACATGGGGTAAAAGAAGCTCATGCATTAAAAAGAAACTGAGTTAAAAACTGGCACTGGAACTCATGCGTTGCAAGTAGGCATGACTTAAAACTGGCATTGGTTAAAATTGGCCAAAATATGGGTTAGAAAGAGTTTTTATTCCAATAAAGATGCAGCAGCAGGCGTTTTGAACACAATTGTGATTGTAATTTTATCTCCACATGTAGCAAGTTGAATAAATCTTCATTTTCGTCTTGATCTAAACACGCATTGAATTTGTCTTCAACCTCATTCAATCGTTGACTTTCTGAACCATTGGCTGATACCACTTGTTGGGATCGAAATAATATGGTGCATGCAGAAACTAACAATACAAAGTTTGGTGGACGATAAATCAGACGACAAAAGAAAAATATATTAAACTAAGCATAATAGTTTATAATGGTTTGGCCAATTGGTCTATATATGATAAAACTAATATAAAAGAAGAAAAACTATCGAGAGAAAAATCTCCCCTTAAACAAAACTCTTTAATGACTACATTGTGGATATTTTTTTTTGTGCTATGGTGAGAAGTAGAGATCCTTAATTTATAGATGCGCAAAACTTGTCTTTCAAGAAAAGGATAAGACATATTAAGGAGATTTAATCCTTTTAGGAGTCTTTTTCATTCCTTCAAGAAAGAAAGTCCTAATAGATTAGAAATTCAAGGTAAAATCCTAACAGCCTAGCGGGGTGCTGTTGTTGTTTTTGTCAGTTGGTTTTTGTGGGGGGCTTTGGTTATTAGGGTTGGTTGAGTGGTTCCCTTGGGAGGTATTTGCTATAATGTCACTGTTGTGCATTAAATAGGCGTCGACTTGTGTATTGAGGGTGTCAAGGCCTTGTTGTTTATCTAGTGGGTATTGTGTGGGCTTTACTAAGGAGGCCTTAGTGTCCAGCCGGTCTTTGTGTTGGTTCTGTGGTAGCTCATTGCCCTCCGTGTTCGATGATGGTGTTACTAGGTTGCTGCCATTCCCGAGGTTTTTATGGATTCCAAAAGCTTGCCGTCGTTTTCTCAGCTCCATGGTTTTTGTTTTAGGTAGTGGTTTTGGGGTTAGATTGGCTTGGTCTTTGTTTGTTATGGCTTCCAGTATCTCCTTCTCTCCTTCCTGTTTTTTTATGGTGAGATACTGCCGTCCATTGCTCAATTTCTTTAGTTAGGGAGTGTATTTCTTGTGTGTTAATGTCTTGGTTGTTTTTGTTTTGGTCCTCCTCCTTAGGTTGGTTAGGGCAGCTTCTATGTACATGTCCCAGTTTCCCACAGTTTGTACATAATAGGTTAAACCCCTCATACGAAACTTTTTGATAATGTTTGCCTAGTATAACATGGTTTTTTAGGGGTTTCTCTATTGGGACTAGGATACACACCCTTGCATATTTCCCTCTTAGTGCCGATGAGGTGCATGCGTCTATGCGTATTAGTTGTCCTAGTTTGTTTCCTATCTTTTCCAGAATCTCGAAGTCATAAAACTCCGTAGGGAGTTCTGGGAGTCTAGCCCAAATCGCCGAGTAAGTTAGGGAGGCTTCTTAGGCCACGAATCTGGGCTCCCATTTCCTTACTGTGAGGTATTGGTTTCCTATGAACCATGGTCCCTCATGCAAGGCTTTGTCATAGTTCTCTCTTTTGTTCAATTTAACTAGGTAGTAGTCATTTCCAAGGTCTATTAGCGATATTTGTTCCGAAGGTTTCCATATGGCCTGGAGTTTACTTTGAAGAAATAAGTATCCTACTCTTCTTCCAAAATTTTTTATAATAAGGGCATTTGACCAGTTTTTGTACATTCTCTCCTTATCACTGGAAGTGATAGGGATGAAATTATCCAACTCAAGGACGTTGTCCACCTCATCTGAGGCAAAAAGATTTTCGCTCTCATCTGAGGGGTCAAGGGAACCCACGTTACTTTGGACCATAATGTGGTTCATGTCCTGTTGGCTTGGGGTATTGCAGGTAAGTTTGTTCAAGAAGGAACACTCTCCTGTACCCATGATGTTTTTTGGGTTCTGCTGGTATGGCAATGAAGTTTCTTGTTAAGTTTCCATTTATACCATAGCTTCACCATTTTAATTAACTATCCAGAGTCCCCAACATCAAGTCAGATGAATTCTCTTGACCTGGGTTTTCCTAGTAAAAGAAAATTTAGCATGAGATTTTTCTTTTCAGATTCTATAGACCTCTTGATGACTGACCATATTAGTTTGTTAAGGATCTTGAAAATGTTCAAACACAAAGCAAGCTGACCGAAATTTGGGTAATTTTAGAAGCAAAGAGAACTGAAGCTGCAGATAAATGGTGAAAATGCAACTGTCCCTTTTGTCAAAATGACAGAATTCTTGGTTGAGAGCTAGTAAATGGGATGAATGAAAATATTATATGTTTTTGGCTGGAAATATTACTATGTGGACAGTTTGTGGAAGACAGTGAAGGCTCTCCAGCTACCAAATCATATGATTTTGCCATCTCATGCTTTTGCTTTACTTGCCTAAACATTCTGCACATGAATGGAGTCATACACAAAACAAGAATGCAGGTTCAAAAATGCTAGGTATATATATAGTAAACACACCTTAAATCCCTGCTTTTTTTAATCAAACAAATTATTGGTTTGTTAGTTTACAAAACTTATGCACAATAAAGAGATGGAGATGGTGACGATAAAAACATGAAAAATTTATGTTGAATGATAATTTCTTTTAGTAATAGTTGGATAGGACTAAATTCAGAGTTTAACTTGAGCTGCATTTACAAATACAGACCAATTACCAGGGCATAGTGTTGTAGCCGAGTGTAAGATAAATAAATGCTACTATTTACAGTTGTTCACAGAACAAGCAAAAGCCAGAAAGCAAATGCTAGTCAGCCCTTATTTATGGTACATATGTAAGGTATATATTGGAAGTGCTCTAAACAGCATAAACTGCATGACTATCCCTCCAGCCTATCATTCATTCGAAACTTGAAATGCTTTGCTTGGTGCAATTTTCCTAATCATCAAGTAGGAAAACCACTCCATTCTTCTTGATGAAGTCATGTGTTGTGTGATCAACCACCTGCACATGATGTACAATAGATCAATACATCCACAAAAGAACTGATGCATTCATCGCAAATAGCTGATATAAAACAACTATTCACCAAATGAGGTTTTATAGGCCAGCACCACCTTGACGATGTTAGTCTGTCCTCAACTTGATGGTGCCCATTTACATATTTCACAGTTTATTTTAGTGTTAAATGGCTCTTTATGACTGTTAAACCCAGCACGAGATATCTAAACATATTGCTGCAGCCATATAACAAAACAAATGAAAGTGCCCCCTCACTAGATGTTTAAGAAGGTGATTCATACATTTCAACACTTTACATAACAAATGGAGAGTTCAAGTCTCGCCATCATCTGTCAACCAAATATTACGTGCTTAACCCAAGAAAAAGGATCTGACCCCCATGGGAAGGGGAGGGCATGTTGCATACCAAAAATATAAATAAAAAAATAATCCTCCAACAACTAACAGCTTATAAATGAGACAGCTACAACATTTCAACACATGATAATGGTAGTTAGAAGATATTGTAACGTATAAATCAGAATAATGACATGAATAAACACAAATTTAGTTTTCCGTCACATCCCAATAGATGTGACATGTCGCCCAGAGAAATGGGTGGAAAAAGATGCGGAGTCTCCGGCCCTCCCAGATATCAATTTTGCTTATATAAGTTTCTCATAGAGGTCCTGTGTTAGAAGTCTTCATCTTCTGGAGCATTTTCTTTTCTAAAAGTTTGGTTCACTAAAGCTTCAAACTGGTTGATCATCACTCTTTTTATCATCAGAAGCAACTAGGCTTAAAATTAAGAACCAAAATGACAATACTTAATGTTACCAAGAAAAGAAAGGGGGTGATTCCCTGGTTAGCCTAAAACAGTATTTCCATGATGCATGTAATCAACATGCATAAATGTGATCAATTCAACTGTAACAGTAGAAAACAGAAGATCCTTACATTAGTGTTGTTCAGCTCCAGATTGTAAAAGTCCATTTTATCATCTGTAAATAGTGGCCCAGCATGCCATGTACCATGATTCAGCTTTATAAACTTTGGACCTGAAATTCTGAAAGCCTGCACTTCATCAACAGCAGGAGGCACATAAAAGTGCCCACAATGTGACTGCACAATATCAGCACCTGTATCAGCTGGATCCACAATAGATGGCTTAGCAACTCCAAGATACCAAACATTGCCTCCAATTGATCCAAGACATTGGGTCACGTTGGCATGATGCGTTATCTTAGAAAATCTGAGCGACCGATCTTTAAGCTGCATAATGTAAAACCTGACAGAAAACACCAAGTGCACAACTCAGCTCACTTAGTTATCTCAGTAACTAATCCAACAGACAGTATTTGGATAAATTGAAACAAAAAACTATTAGCTAGTATAACAAACTCCAAGGACGAACAAAATAATTACAGGGAAAAAATAAACAATAAACTAGAAAATCCTTGAGAAACTTTCAAGTCCAGGATATAAAATCGCTTACATTTATCCCATCTCATTGATTAACGAGCACTTATTACAGGGGTGGAGCTAGCCTATGGCTTGCGGGTTCGGCCGAACCACAGTAACTTTGGTCCAAACCATGTATTTGTCTTAAATTCGTTAAATATGTATAAATTGTTAATTTAGAACCCAGTAACATAAACGAAGTAGAATACCAAACCCACAAGCTTTAAATCCTAACTCCGCTTTTGACTTATTTTACTGGTTCCGTCAAACACATGCATAGCTACGTAAATTAAAAGGTTTCCTATTTAGCAGCTTTAGTTGTTTAAACACTTTCTACATTTACCTTAAAAAGGTACCACTCCTCCCTAACCATTAACTTATTTATCTAATGATCCAACCAGGGAAAGAACGAAGAAGAAACCTATAAAGCTTTCCAGTTTTACATCACTTTTGAGAAACTATTTGAAGTTCCATCTGTTCTGTCAAATCGCTGATCTGGTTTCTGTTGAAGTGTATGACCATCTCATCTACCGTTTAAGTTGTTAGAGAGAGCATACTTTTATTTACTTAACTACGTGTTGGAAGTTTCTACTTGGATAGTTGCACATGTTACTCTAGTATAAAAGGTTTTAGTCTTGGAAGTGTCAAATTTTGATTTAACTTATTAAACGAAAGAGCTAAATAGACGAAGGATCAAGATAACCTCTCACAACACGAAATGAACATGTAAAGGTCCATTTCTTTCCTATTCCAAGAGTACAAGATTTTGTTTTCTGAACTTACTTGTATGAAAATAGGTTCAATTGAAACTGATTTTACTGTCTCCTCAAAGCAACACCTTTTTTATTAAGAAGAACATCAAATTTATACAAGAAAATGTTATCTGAGCCAAATAAAGAAGAATCCTAACCTAGGAATGCCACGACTCAAGTCAAGGTGAGCATCACGAGGTCCAAATTCTTCCCCATCTGGGGACGCCTCAATTACTTGACCGAACTCTTTAAAACTCTCAGGGGTTGCTTCTATGGGTTTCAGCTTCAACACGGACGGCGACGATGTCGTCTTAGCGCCGGAAGCAGATTCCATTGATACAGAAAGAGAAGGGTGGATTAAGCGACGGCAATTGGGAAATAGTTTACGAGGAAATTCTTTGCGTGAATTCAACGGAAAGAAACCGGAACTTTTGTCGGCGACCGGAGATCCGGCGAGTCGGAGAGGAACAGTTGAAGCTTCTGTGGCCACAGTATGTGGTCTAGCGGATGGGAAATATAGCAATGGCTTCAATTTCAGCATCTTTGAACATCACTCGCACGTTCGACTTTCACTGTAATTGCTCGCTAATAAATAAGGAAAAAAATAACAAGAAGGTTATTTCTTCTTATTTTTAAAGGGATGAAAATTATTATAAAAATAAAAAGTTGAGGACTACCAATTTTTTTCCTTTTTATAAAGGTACACAAATTAAATAGGCATCATTTTTTTTAACTAAACACATTAATGACTTTACAATCAAAGTTGACTCTTCTTATGTTACCAAATGCTTGTTATATTTTGCACATTTAAAATATTTAAAAAGATGTTGATTGTAAAGCCATTATGAATACTTTTACTTGGGTAATTTTACGAATAATTATTTTTTAATAAAGTTAATATTTATAGTTAAAAACATAACTATGTCAATATATCATAAAAATAAAGAACACCAAAAATTATTAATTCAAGTCGCAGAACACACAAGCAAGTTACGACATGTATAAAAATCGTGTGTAAATATTTCTACATTACTAGTTGATTTTATATAATATTCACGTAATAGCACTTAAAAAAATAATTTTTTTGGATCCAATCTAATACATGCTATCATTTGCCATGTCGCACATCATTGTTATTTTGTTTATTTTTTTAAGTGGGGTAGCAAAATAAAATTTTATATTTTTAGGTGGTACCAAGTGACTATTAGTGCATAGGGAAAATAGTCAAATATACCCCTTTACTTTTAAATACTGTCTGCATTTAACTTTCGTTATACTTTACGTGCAAATATACCCCTACCATTAACAAACTTATCACAAATACCCCTACCCCTGACCATAACTGAACTTCCATCATCACCAAACTGCCACCAACGCCGGCTGAAGGGTAAAGCAGCCCAAGCAGTGGCTTTAGGCCCCCAAATTTGGGGGGCCTCATTTTTTATTGACAATAATTTTATGAATTATTTTTTATATAAAAAAATTGATTATCTTAAAGTTAAAAGGTATACATTTTTACAAAAAGGCATTTGTTACTGATATTGATCCTTGAGTTTGAATAATCCGAAGCGTATAAAAATATTTGATTAAAACACAATCGCCACTTTGACATGATAGTTTAGGTTTATTTTTTAAATTATATAGCATTAAAGGAAATATTATAAGTATAAGATAAAACTCTAATCGATATACTTAATAAGATAACATGACTTTTTTTTTTTAATGCTTATATTCCTTATAGAATAAAATATACTATAACAAATTGCATCCAGGAAAGAAGTTTTACCAAATTAAAATTGATAAAATCTTGTATATGATCAACAATGTCTCACGAGAAGCTAATTGAATCAGATTAGCAATATTATCAGTTGAAAAGGAATTATTAGAATAACTCGATTAAAGAAAATTATTTATAATTTTTCATCTAGTTAAGTTAGGAAAATATACGTCAAATAAAAATATAATTTTTTTTTAAAAAATTAAGGCCTATAATCAAATTTTTGCTTTAGGCAACCAACAATATTGAGCCTCCCCGCACTGCCACCCCTCCAATCTTCTTCTCCAACAACAACAACAACCCAGCGAAATCCCACTAATGCGGTCTGGGGAGGGTAGTGTGTACGCAGACCTTACCCCTACCCCGAAGGGGTAGAGAGGCTGTTTCCGAAAGACCCTCGGCTCAAGGGAACAAAAGGACAAAAGCAGAGAATATTAGTTTCGCCACAGAAATAATAAGAAAAAATATGAACATGGAATGCAGAAGAAAGATGCGAAGTAAAGCGACAGCTATTAAATACATCATGCACTGAATTAGTAAGACACAACAATGGCACTAGCTATCTTAGGTAAAAACTCTACCAGACTAGTCTCGCAAAGGTATAAGTAAGGCAAGACTCAACTACCTCCTAACCTACAACCTTAATACTCGATCTCCACAACTTCCTATCAAGTGTCGTGTCCTCGAAACTTTGAAACCTCGCCATATTATGTCTGATCAACTCTCCCCAATACTTCTTAGGCCACCCTCTACCTCTTCTCGTCCCCTCCACAACTAGCCGCTCGCACCTCCTTACCGGAGCATCTGGACTTCTCCTCTGAATATGCCCGAACCATCTGAGCCTCGCTTCCCGCATCTTATCCTCAATGGGAGCCACTTGCACCTTCTCCCGAATATCATCATTCCTAATCTTATCCATCCTAGTGTGCCCGCACATCCACCTCAGCATCCTCATTTATGCTACTCTCATCTTCTGGGTATGTGAGTTCTTAACATGCCAACATTCATCCCCATACATCATTGCCGGTCTAACCACCGCTTTATAGAACTTACCTTTAAGAATCGGTGGCACTCTCTGGTCACACAAGACTCCAGATGCTAACCTCCACTTCTTCCATCCTACCCCAATACAATGTGTGACATCCTCGTCGATCTCCCCTCCCCCTGGATAATCGACCCAAGGTACTTGAAGCTTTCTCTACTTGGAATGACCTGTGATTCAAGCCTCACATCCACGCCCACTTCCCTCCGGCTCAGCGCTGAACTTACACTCCAGGTATTCCGTCTTCGTCCTGCTCAGCTTGAAACCCTTAGACTCAAGAGCTTGTCTCCAAACCTCTAGCCTCTCGTTAAGACCGGCTCACGACTCGTCAATCAGAACTATGTCATCGGCGAATAGCATGCACCATGGCATCTCCTCTTGGATATGGTGCGTTAACGTGTCCATCACCAAGGCGAATAAGAACGGACTGAGTGCAGAACCTTGGTGTAACCCCATTACAACCGAAAAATGTTCAGAGTCTCCTCTTACTGTCCTAACCCGAGTCTTAGTCCCATCATACATGTCCCTGATCGCCATAATGTACGGTACCGACACACCTTTTGCCTCCAAGCATATCCAGAAAACTTCTCTAGGAACCTTGTCATATGCTTTCTCCAGGTCAATAAACACCATGTGCAGATCCTTCTTCCTCTCTCTATACATTTCCACCAACCTCCGAACAAGGTGTATAGCTTCTGTAGTAGAAAGACCCGGCATGAATCCGAACTGGTTGTCGGATATAGACACTGCCTTCCTCACCCTTTCTTCAACCACCCTCTCCCACACTTTTATGGTATGGCTCAGTAATTTGATACCCCTATAGTTGTTACAACTCTGGATATCCCCTTTGTTCTTATACAATGTAACTACCGTACTCCACCTCCACTCCTCTGGCATCCTCTTCGCATTAAAAATAACATTGAACAACCCAGTCAACCACTCCAAACCTGCTCTCCCCATGCTCTTCCAAAATTCCACCGGAATCTCGTCTGGCCCGGTCGCTCTACCCCTACTCATCCTAGGCATAGCTTCTACGACCTCCTCAACCTTGATACACCCGCAGTACCCAGAGTCGCGGTGACTCTCGGAACGTTCCAATTCGTCTAGCACAATATCCCGATCCCCTTCTTCATTCAGAAGTTTATGAAAATAAGTCTGCCATCTTCTCTTAATCTGCGCATCCTCCGTCAAAACTCTACCATCTTCATCCTTGATGCATCTCACTTGGTCCAAATCTCGAGCCTTCCTCTCTCTCAGCTTGGCCAACCGGAATAACTTCTTCTCCCCGCCTTTTTTCCCTAGTTCCTCATACATACGACCATAAGCCGCAGTTTTAGCCTTCGTGACCTCCAGCTTAGCTTCCTTCCTAGCTACCTTATACCTCTCTACGCACGCTCGCCTTTCCTCCTCACCTATGCTCCCCACTAACTTTAGGTACGCCACCTTCTTCGCTTCCACTTTACCTTGGACCACTTCATTCCACCACCATTCTCCTTTGTGTCCACCAGAGATGCCAGTTGAGACCCCTAACACCTCTCTCGTAGCCTCCCTTATACATTCGGATGTTGCTGACCACCTAGTGCTTGCGTCGCCACTGCTCCTCCAAGCTCCCATAGCCGACAACCGCCCCTCCAACTCTTGGGCTTTATCCTTAGTTAAGGCTCCCCAACAAAAGTTGTATGAGGCACCGCTAGCTATTAAACAAGTGGAGAAGTAGGCCCCACATGCCAGGCTCTCTCTGTTATCTCTCTTTGCACTATGTGTTTCCCATTTCACCGTCCCTTTCTAATATTTTTTTTATCCATTTTACTAAATAGCAAAATAAAAAACTAGTAACTTTAGTTCTCTTTTCTGCACTTCTGAGTTTCTTCTCCTCTATCTTCTAAAATATTTTTCAAAAAGGAACTGAACAGTTGGATTTTCAGGATCGTTTTTTTGTGTATTCTTGTGTAAATACAAGAGTTCAAAAAGAAAAATGACTGAAAATTTCTTTTCCATGAATTTTCGAAGAGAAAATGATGGGTTTAATATTTGGCGAGATTATCAACAAATTTTCAGATAATCTACGTTTTCCAGTTCCATTGTAATAATACAATCAATAGTTTGGTTGATGTTTATTAATCTGGTATCTCATTGGTGTGCAATGAAAAAATTAAACTCAACTTCTCATTTATCTCTTTATTTTGGTATTGCTGTTTGGGTACAACTTTGAATATCTTTAACCTTTTCTTTTGTGAAGATATGAAATTCTAGGTTAGAACTTTTATGTATGCTTTATTTTTTGCGATGGTTGAAAATTACAGTGTACTGTCTTAGTGAATTCATGCTAAATTTGAATCATAGTATTGTGTTGTTTGAGTTAAAAGTGTTAATTAAAATATTTGATGGTTGAATTCGATGAAACTACACTAGAGAAGGAGAGGAATGAAAAAGGAGAGATGATGCATTTTTTCCCTTTAATAGTCAATATTTGGCTCAAACAAATTACAGAGATACTGAGATGAAAAATTGGGTAAAAAGATGAAAAAAGGATGGTGAAATGGGAGCGCAAGAGAGATAAAACAGGGAGCCTGCCATGTGGGACCTACTTTTTCACTTGTCTAATTATCAAAGTGCCTCATACAACTTTTGTTGGTCGAGTCTCACTCAAAATAAAATTTCTCTCCATAAACTAACTTTCTTCTTCACCTCATCTTCATATTTCAACCCATATATTTAGCTGGAAAATACTGATTATGAATTCAGTCCAAATAAGAAGCTAAACTCTCACAAAATTATAAATTATCCAAAACCTTTTTAACCCAAAATATAAAAGATCAGTGAAGATCAACAGATTTACCACAACTATTAAATTTTTTTATGCAAGATAAGCAAAATAGAACATTAATGAACCTCAAAGAATATTAATTTTTCACCGTTTGTTTCTAATTCTTCCAATATTTTCTAGTACTACAAAATTGTACAATTTAATTGCTTCAAAGTATCCAAATTTTGCGAAAATTTGATTGCGCTGAATTCAAATTCAGTGTTTCGTTAAAAGCATACAAGATCATAGGATGTTTTAAATGTGAGAAGAACTTCCAAATGAAGGTTGTTGGCAGTGTTCTCGACTACGGATATGAGGATTTGTGAAGAGGGTGGTCGAGTTTCTTTCATGTGGTTTGAAGATGAATGAGAGTGAAGAATTTTTATTTAACCGTGTTTACATTAGGCGGTAAAGGGCGGAATAGTGGTGGTGATGGTTATGATGGAAAGAAAGCAGTGATTTTTTTCTCTTTTTTGAAGATTAAGTTAATACTAGAGGCGAGCCTAACGGTCTAAAATGATGGAACCCTGGAGGTGAAGAAAATGGTGGTTTATCTTTTTAGGTGGTCAAAAGGTGGACATAAGGATAGTAAACGGAGGCGGCAATGGAGAAAAGGTTGGAGTGGTGGCAGTTGGTGATGATGCAGGTTCTATTAGGGTCAGGGGTATTTGTGATAAGTTTATTAATGATAGGAATATATTTGTATGTAAAGCATAAGGAAGTTTTAACGTAGATAATTTTCGAAAGTATAGGGATATATTTGACCCTATAAAACTTTTTGGCTCTTTTTTCTTTTCCTTTTTTTTTTGTGAGACCTAACGTGTATATGCAACAACAACAGCACAATATAATCCACTAGTGGGTCTGGGTAGGGTAATGTGTACGCAGACCGCTGTTTCCGATAGACTCTCGGCATCCGTCCATCCAAGAACTCCCCACCTTGCTCTTGGGGTGACTCGTACTCACAACCTCTTGGATTGAAAGTGGATGGTGCTCACCACTAAAATGTATACAGTAAAATAAAATAAAATGAAAATAGCTTACGTATGCTTATATCACAAGAAAATAAAAACCTCAAAATATTGTTAAATCTAATCCTCTAAACCTAAAAAAACAAGTAAACTGCCAACTTTAACAATTCATCTTATGTTTCCCTTTACAAATTTAATTTTCACAAAAATAAGAAAAATAAAATATAGATTGTGCCCGGCAACTGCTTGTTCAGCAAATGCGATGGAAGTCTAAAGCAAAACAAGAAGACAAGTTCAGTCAGCTACTCCTGAAACCTCGGCATAAACCCCTTCTTCCCCATTTGTTTTCCTCTGTAAAACCTCAAAAATCAAACGCCAATGAGTTCCTCAACTCCACAATATCCTCCATTGAATCCTTCTCAACTCATCCAAACAATCACTACCCTTCTCTCTTCCTCCAAATCCCTCCCCAAATCCACTCTCAAATCCTACCTTCCTCACCTCACCCTTCCCATTATCCACTCCATTCTCTCCTCCCCTACCCTCTCTTCTCACCCCACCACCCTTTTCTCCTTTTTCCAATGGTCTCAATCCCACATACCCTCTCTCTCCACCCACCCCCTCCCTTTCCCTGCCCTCCCCCCTCTCTTATCCTCCCTCTTATCCCATCGCAAGTTCAAGATTGCCAAATCCCTTCTCCTTGACTTTATCCCTTCTGATCACCCCCAACACCTTCTCCACCGCCACCTCCTTCACCCCATTTCCTCTTTCCCTCAACCTTCAAGGGATTTGTTGGATACTGCTATTGGTTCTTATTGCCAATGTGAACAACCCCATCTTGCTCTTCAGATTTTCAAGAAAATGAAACGCCTTCGAATGTGCCCGAATTTGCTGACTTTTAATACTTTGATTAATGCATTGGTAAAGTACCCTTCTACTCACTCTGTTGATTTATGTAATGAGCTGTTCAATGATGTGATTAAGCTTCGTTTGGCTCCGAATACGAATACTTTCAATATTTTGATAAGAGGGTATTGTTTAGTTTACAAGTTTAAGGATGCTAATGGCTTGTTGAATAGAATAAGTGAGTTTGGTTGCGTGCCGGATAATGTGAGTTATAATACTATATTGGATGGGTTGTGCAAGAAAGGTAGGTTGAATGATGTTAGGGATTTGTTATTGGATATGAAGGGTAAAGGTCTCGTGCCAAACAAGAATACGTATAATATTTTGGTACATGGTTATTGTAAAATGGGGTGGTTGAAGGACGCTGCTCAGGTCGTCGAGCTGATGACTCAGAACAATACATTGCCTGATCTTTGGACATATAATATGTTGATTGATGGTCTGTGTAATGAAGGAAGGATCGATGATGCCTTTAAGCTTCGGGATGAGATGGTAGGGTTGAAATTGTTGCCTGATGTGAAAACTTATAACACCTTGATTAATGGGTGTCTTGATAATAAGAGAAGTTCAGAGGCCTTTGATCTGCTTGAAGAAATGAATAAGAAGGGGATCAAATGCGATGAGTTTACTTATAATACATTGATTAAATGGTATTGCAAGGAAGGGAAGGTGGAAAAAGCTCGAGAGGTGATTCAAAGGATGGAGGAAGGTGGTTTATGTCCAGATTGCGTTTCCTACAATACTTTGATAAGTGCATACTGTAAAGCAGGAAATCTATCAGAGGTTTTGAGGATAATGAAACGAATGGGTGAAAAAGGTTTGAAAATGGATAATTTTTCTCTCAATACAATGCTTCATACTCTTTGTCAAGAAAGGAAGCTTGATGAGGCCTATGAGTTGCTCTCTGTTGCTCATACCAGGGGCTATCTTGTCGATGCAGTAAGTTATGGCACTCTTATTGCTGGGTACTTTAGGTGTGGAAATATGGAAAAAGCTCTTAATCTTTGGGATGAGATGAAAGAGAGAGAGGTAATTCCCACTATTATCACATACAACATCATAATTGGAGGGCTCTGTAAATCAGGTAAAACTCAGCTGGCAATCGCTAAACTGAATGAACTTTTAGAGAAGGGCATAGTGCCTAATGAAATAACATACAATACTATTATTCATGGATACTGCTGGGAGGGGAACATTGAGAAAGCATTTCAATTTCACAACAAAATGGTTGAGAATTCTTTTAAGCCTGATGTATATACATGCAACATTCTTCTTCGGGGACTTTGTAGGGAAGGCATGCTCGAAAAAGCCATTAAGCTATTTAATACATGGATCGATAAAGGGAAGACCATTGATGTAGTAACTTATAACACCTTGATTACGGCTCTTTGTAAAGATCAAAGACTTGAGGATGCTCTAGGCCTTGTTGCTGAAATGGAAGAGAAAAATGTCCAACGTGATAAGTACACACTTAATGCTATTATTGGTGCACTTACTGATGCTGGAAGGCTTAAGGAAGCAGAAGAATTTATGTCAAATATGACAGAGATAGAAAGACCCTCTGATCAGCGGTTGCAAATGGATAACAGGGAACATGAACTCACAGCTGAATCTTCACATGAACTAGATCCAAGTTCAATTGCTTATTCACAGCAGATTGATGAGCTCTGTGCGGAGGGGAGATATAAAGATGCGATGCTTATCTATGCAGAACTTACTCAGAGAGGTATTGCTCTACAGAAATCTACTTATTTCACTCTGATAAAAGGACTTATCAAGAGGAGAAAAAGTGTATCAAAGGCAGGTTGATAATGACACAAAAAGTGTAGATTCTTGTTGTCATACCCCTTGGCTCTGGCTGAGAATGATGACTCCAGTATCCATCACATACAATCATGCCAGGTATGCAACGCTGCAATGATCCTAGGTAAAAATATGCTCTTTTTCCTTAAGCACAGAGCAGATGAACTTTTCTCTTACACTTCCGTTTTTGACTAGCTTGTGGCTAACTTAGTTGATTAAAATATTTTCTCGCTCTTGCAATGACATCCTTTTTCCTATTGATAAAAGTTCAATTGCATGATATTACTCTCTTTTTTAATCCAGTCTCGTAAAATGTGATCTGGAAGAGGCAAAACGATAAAGTAAACCCACTGAATTAGAGTACTTGCACAAAATGTTTTATTAGGAGATGTCTTGGGGTGCAGTTTGAACTAAAATGCTGCAAAGTTGGGTTGGGGCTGGTAAACTCGGTAGGTTATGTGGGTTCTGGATGTGCAATTAACCTAACCTGCATTCCAGTGCGAAGAGATCTTTGAAAGAAAGTGAGCATCTGTACTGATATGTATTAAAATCCATTCTGTGAAATTCCACAAATTTAGGTCTTCATACGAATGTAGAATCCCTGGCCTAATAATATGAACTTGCAACTGCTATGCATTGGGAGAACCCCTCTAAGATAAAGGCCAGTAGGCTCTATAGACATCTTATGCTACATGATTCCCGGGATGCAGATGATATCTATTGTCCTTTCTTTTTTGGTTTCTTTCTTTTGGGTTACCTTGTAACATACAAGATCACCTCGGAAAACATAGCAGAAACATAAGTTGCATAACATTTTGCTTAGCTTTTCTGATCAGAGAATTCACTGAATACAATGAATAGAGCCATGTGGCAAATAAAGCTTTTGGAGCATATAATCGGAGTCCAGCTCAGGATGCAAACAACTAAATTTGCATGTGTAAATGGTCCCCTAAAATGAACACTAGAATTGGAGTTATCAATGGGAAAAAAAGGAACACTAAAGTTAGGGTAGGTTTTGTGGCTCAGGCTCCTTAGCAGTTTCCTACAGGGGATGAGTATATGGTATAACTTAAGTAATTTAACTTCTAAATCTCCGCTTGATGTGATATGAGAATCAAGATACAACAACAACAAACCCAGTGGATTCCCACAGGTGGGTTCTGGGGAGGGTAGGGTGTACGCAGACCTTACCCCTACCCTAGGAGGGCAGAGGGGCCGTTTCCGTTAGACCCTCGGCTAAAGAGAAGATGAAAAGAAGCAGTAGCAACAAGCAACAAAAACAACAAGATGTTAAGAAGACCGAAGCGAAAGATAACAATCAAACAGTAAGTAGTGATAGCAATCTAAGAATAAAAAGATACCATACTAACACTAAAACTATCGGTACGGGAAAGAAAAAGTAAAACGCTCGACTATCTACTAACCTTCTACTCTAATTCTCGATCTCTACACCCTCCTATCAAGGGTCATGTCCTCGGTAAACTTAAGTTGTGCCATATCTTGCCTAATCACCTCTTCCGTATACTTCTTTGGCCTACCTCTACCTCTCCTCATATCCATCAAGGTCAACCTCTCACACCTCCTAACTGGAGCATCTGTGTTTCTTCTCTTCACATGCCCAAACCATCTCAGTCTCGCCCAGTGTTGTGAAGAGCGTGAAGCGAGGAAAAGCGACGACCCCCATTTCGCTTAAAGCGAGAAGCGAAGCGCTCGCTTTTTTGAAGTGAAGCGGAATTTTAGAAAAAAAATAAAAATAAATACTGCATAGACAACACATGTAATTGTAAGCAAATGTTCTATACTTCAATGTAATAACTAAAGAGTAGCATCAAAATTAGAGGAAGGGCAGTAACTCTCTGTTAAAAACTGGGCAGAGAAAGAAGAACCCAAGGATTGGCATCCCGCATCATTGGTCTCGCCCTCCCGCATGTTAGCCTCCATGGGTACCACTCCCACCTTTTTCCGTATATCTTCATTCCTAATCTTATCTTACTTGGTAAGCTCGCACATCCATCTCAACATCCTCATTTCAGCTACTTTCATCTTCTGTACATGAGAGTTCTTGATATGATAATCAAGCTAACACACAAACAACCAATACTAGATAAAAAAATAGGGATTAGAGATAGAAATTACTAGAGAGGGAAGCTAGAAAGGATTTAATCATTGAAAGCAAATATTAAGCATTCAATTATATGATTGTAATCCAAGGGAGAAGGAAAATTTAACTCATACAAGGGAATTCTTACCCAAGTATTCAAGCGGGTTCAATGGAGAGATAAAAGGGTCTTCCCAAGCTCACAAAGCTGCCTAAACATCAATTTTCATCCAAAAACTAACTAATGAACTAAACACTAATTACTATTTATAGTAGATAAAGTGATTAACAAGCAGAGGCGGATTCAGGATTTGAAGGTTGCAAGTGCCACTACATATTATCCACTAGCCGCAAAAATCGAATAGGAAAAATGGATCGATCAAGTTAGTTTTTAATTAATCCAATTAAGTTTTTTATTCATGAATGGCCAAATAAGTTCGCTTTTAGTTCAACTTTTTTACACTTGATTTAATTATATTCTAGAATAAAATATAAAAAAATAATATTTGATGACAGTCGCCTCCAATTAAAAAAAATTCTTACGGAGTATCTTAATTATTATATATTCTTGTGTTTGATTTGATTAATTGATTGGGTAAATTTTTTTTATTTAATTGTTGAGTTATATGGCAATTATTTTCAAAGCAAAAGTTTTAAATTTTCAGTCTATGAAAATCAATTCAAAACCTATATTAGTAAGGATTTTTTTTCAAAAGTCAATAAATAATACAACTCAAATTATACTCCAATACATAAATTAGTGTTGTATCATTAAAAAGATATAAGCTACATATTATCTAGAATCATTTAAAATTATGCATCAAACGAAGTTGCATAAAATAAGATATAATTTTAGGTAGCAAAATGAAGGCTAATGTAAGAAAATTTTAAAAAGATAAAAGATAGAGAGAGTTAGCATCAAATAACAGAAGAGGAAAGAGGCAAAAGAAAGAGGAGGAAAAGAAAAGGAAGAAGAGGTAAGGGCCCAAGCCCAACGGACAAAAAGAAAATTGGGACTAATAAGCAGGAAAAAAAAATAAAAGAAATAAAATGCTGCTGCACGGACTCGAAACTGAACCCGCGAAACCAAGGAGAGATTTCAGAAGCGACGCAGAACCACGGCACCCAAATGCTATTTGTGTATTTCGGATGCCACTTTAAATATATAACCTTTTTTTCATAGATATCAACTTACTTACTAAGAATTTTTGCCGAAGCGTGCGGGTGGCGTGCCACCCCGACCCTCTAGGTAGATCCGCCCCTGTTAACAAGGGAATACTTACCCAAGTATCCAAGAGGGTTCAATGGAGATAAGAGGGTCTTCCCAAGCTCAGAAAGCAGCTTAAACATCAATGTTCATCCAAAAACTTACTAATGAACTAAGCACTAATAACTATTTATACTTTATAGTAGTAGATAAAGTGATAAACTAACCTACGCTAGTTACAATAATACCCTTAAGCTCAATGTTCATCCAAAAACTTACTAATGAACTAAGCACTAATAACTATTTATACTTTATAGTAGTAGATAAAGTGATAAACTAACCTACGCTAGTTACAATAATACCCTTAAGCTAAAAACAAGGAAAGCAAGGAAATTTGCTTTGCCTAGCCAATTGGCCATTTAAATTGTAGCCACCCACTTTGCTTAAATCTCCACTTTAGTATGTTGTAGACCTTCTATATTTCTTTCGTTGATCTTCTAAAGCCTTCAAAGTACTTTGAGTCTAGTTGAGAGGTCTTCATGTCCATGATGGCTAACCCATATCCCATCACTGCCAATTCCTCAAACATTCAATGCAGCTTAGCTTGTTTCAGTTATAATTGGCGTGGAAAGCGCAAGGCTTACCAAGGGCCTTAAAAAAGTAAATACATGAGGAGATTCTTGCTGTTACTAGGGTTGTGATACTGACAAAACACCGAGTCCGGATGGTTTCCTATGGATTTCTGCAGGCACTGTTTGTCTACCATTAAAGATAACTTGATGCAGGCTATAAACCATTTCCATAATCCGGTGCATTTTGAGAGAAGCTTAAATCCCTCCTATATTGCTCCCGTTCCAAAGAAGAGCGGCACAAGGAATTCAAGGACTATAGACCTCTTGGTCTGATAGGCAGTGGCTTTCTCTAGTGACAGAAATATAAGTGATGTAGCTCTGATCGCGAATGATGCTTGGACTCGAGAATAAAAACCAAGAACCTGGAATTCTTTGCAATTTGAATACCAAGAAGGAGTTTTAGTCATGGTAGTTGGAGGTTCTTTCTAGATTAATTGAAACATACGGGCTTCAATCTCAATGGATAAGTTGCATTAGCTTTTTTATTTCATATGTGAAGCTCTCTGTGCTTATAGTTGGTACACCTCATGGTATCTTCTCTAGTCAAAAAGGATTGAGACCATGAGACCCTCTATCTCTTTTTCTCTTTATTCATGTCATGAAGGAACTTAGTAAGATGAGATATAGTGGATTTCCTGCTTCTCTGCAAATTTCTGGAGTTCAGAAAATTTGAACATCTCATGTATTGTAAGCTGATGACACCTTGACCTTGATTTTTTATGAAGCCAAAGAACAACCACCCTTGCTCTTATGGATGATCCCAACAATTCTGAGGCAGTCTCTGGCCTTCATATTAAATTTTGCAAAGAGCTCCATCTTCCCCGTCAACAATGTTCCTAATCCACAAACTTGTTGCATTTTGGAATGCAACATTGGCTCACTTCCCAGAAAGTACCTAGGACTTAATTTGGAGGAAAACACAAATCAGTTGCCATTAAAAATGAGGTTCTTGAAAAGATGGCGGAAAAAATATCAAGTTGAAAAAGGCAATACCTATCTTTGGGTGGAAGAGTCACTCTAATAACTGTATGCTTGATGCTCTTCCCGCTTACACTACGTCACTGTTTCCTGGCCCTGCTTTTTAAAGCGCATGGATAAATAAGACGGCACTTTCATTGGCAAGGGAATAAACAGTCCAAGTCCTTTTCTCTTGTAAAGTGGACAGCGCCCTGCTTTTTAAAGCGCATGGATAAATAAGAAGGCACTTTCATTGGCAAGGGAATAAACAGTCCAAGTCCTTTTCTCTTGTAAAGCGGAACAGTGTTACCGCAGACTAGCAAAAGGGAGGTCTTGGCATTAAAAATCTTAAGTATCACAATGAAAGTCTCTTCGCAAAATGGCATTGGAGATTTAAAGAGGAAGAAAATGCACTTTGGGGAGGATTTTGGTTGCTAAATACACACTGGATCGTCCCTAACACACCAGAGTTTCAAATACTCCTCGTGGCATTGGAGTTTGGAAGCATATATAATTATATGTTGTAATAATTACGTAGCAAATGTTAGCTTCCTGGTAGGGTGTGGTAGAAAGATTAGATTTTGGGAACTCTTGATTGGGACATACATCTCTGAAAGACTTTTTTCATGATATTTAAAGCATTTCTTCCCTTAACCATGCTGTGATTCTTGATTTTTCCGATGCCCAGAGATGGTATCTTTTCCTAAGAAGAAACTTAAATGACTGAAAAATTGAAAGAACATGTTCCCTTTTGAAGCTTCTCAGCTTTATTATTTTGGACCAGCATAAGGTTGATTCTATTAAATAGAAAGGTGGTGACAAAAAATTAGATGGAAAGGTCACTCTAATGGGATCCTCTCTGTTTGGTGTGTTGCTACTGACTATTGACTTCTGCAATGTTAAAATTTGGCCTTGGAGGAATTGTTGGTAAACCAAAGCACCTTTAAAGGTTTTTTGTTTCTCTTGGCTAGTGGCCAAGGAAGCATGTCTCACCAGTCTAATCTCCAGAAAAGATGAATGCAGCTTTGTTTGTGAACCTTTGTTGCTTTTATAGTGACTCATGCTACCTAAGCTATGTCATTCTTAGATCTTCTTTGCAATTTTGTGCTAGTAGCAGGTAAGTTGCCCCGACACAGCAGTTTAGGTGCCGCACCCGTGTCGACACGACACTATTATGGGTGTGGGTATGGAATCCGTACCGGATCTGGTCAAACAATTTTGGGTACTTTGAGCACGATGGAGAAAAAATTCGACAAGATACAATTTGATTCCCGAAATCAAAACCAAAACTAATGTAAATTTGAAGAAAATAATATACCTTATCTAGGAAATCAATCATTTACTTATCTACAACTTGAAAAAGAAATCCACACTTTACAAGCTATATGTAAGTATTCCACAAAATTTCTCATAATTTAGAGATTTTTTTTGATTATATTTAGCCGGATCCCCCCACCCGTATCCATACTAGGATCCATATTGAATCTTAGAATTTACATTTCGAAAGGGAAAAAAGGCCAAAATTGTCCCCATACTATCGAAAATTAGTCACGTTTATACCCGTTTCTACTTTCTGTCCAAATATACGCCTCCGTTAAGAAAGTAGACAAAATCGTCCCTAACCCTAACGGTTGTCCATGACTCAGCAACTAAAATGACACGGTGGATTCCATGTTACTATTTATTTTCCATATGTAATAATATATAACTAAACCCACTAAAATTAGTCTTCTCCTTCTCTAACTTTCCAAATTCAAGGCATAAAGATTTAACCAATTCTAATTTAAATAACAAGTTGCAGCTTTGAATAGTTTTAACATTCCAATGTCAGATTCTTTATTCTATTCAGTCCAAAACAATCAAAAATTCCCGAAACGATTCTCACCCGATTGATTCTTCTTTGTTTGCGAAAAAGATTGTTCCGTCAAGATTTTACTGGTTCTGATATGTTCAAGCAGTAAAGAAATTTTTTAGCAAAAAAAGAATTTTCCGTTGGGTGGAATTTTAAAGACAAACAGGAGGTCACGGGTAAATGGGTTTTTATGGAGGATTTCTTTCTTCTGGATCTAGATCTTCTTCTTTTTGTGGAAAAGGAGTGTTACTGGCCAGTTATGACCAGTAAAGAGGAGCGAGAGATGGAAGAAAAGAGAGGTGATTTTCTGATGAGTGACTGGTAGTGTTTAAAGAGATGGTTTCTAGTGAAGTTTTTTGGTGGGTATTTCCGATGAGTGATTGCTGATGATTTTCTAGGCGGAGAGAAGGTGGGGTATTTTCTTGGTGGAAGACGGCTGGAGTGGTGGTTCGAACACTGACCGGTAATGATGGAAATTTATGAAATAATTTTGTGGAGCAGGACAAGAACCTTGAATTTGCAGCAGTGGTGGTATTTTGTTAGAGAAGGAGAAGACTAATTTTAGTGGGTTTAGTTATTTATTATTACCGATGGAAAATAAATAGTGACATGGAGTCCACCGTGTCATTTTAGTTGCTGAGTCATAGACAACCGTTAGGGTTAGGGACGATTTTGTCTACTTTCTTAACGGCAGGCGTATATTTGGACCGAAAGTAGAAACGGGTATAAACGTGACTAATTTTCGATAGTATAGGGACAGTTTTGGCCTTTTTCCCTTTCGAAAGATCCGCACCCATGTCGGACACCTGCACCCATGTCCGAGCAACTTAGAGTAGCTGTTTTAAAACGCCACTGTTAATATCACATAAATTACATTCTGATTATACTTGGCCTCTAAATGTCTTAATATGTTACAATACTAGTATTGTTTAAGGCTCGGTTGGGACGCACTTAAAGTCTTAAACGGTGAAACTCGGGGTAGCTAGATAAGTGCTTCGTGTTGCTGAAGTGGCACTTTAGTGCAGGTATCAAACTCGCCTAAAATACTGTCTTGAAAAGGACAGTACTACAAAATAGATATAGATGACAAAGCGAAACTGTTATTTTTAAGGAGACTATATGGATGATTATGTTAGTGACTAGGAATAGGAAATTAGAAATTTAGTTAGTAATATAAATTAGAAACTTACATCTTGATCATAAATGTAACATGGTCTTTTTGATTGACAAGATTTTTGCTCAAATATTTATGTTAATTGAAGTTTCTCAATTTTTTTGTCCACATAATTCTATTTGTATTTGTAGTTATTGGTTCTTGCATTATGATGATAGGCTATAATTGCATATTTTAGTCGCTTATTACACTCGAATTTACTGCACTTTAATTGAGTTTGCGCTTTAATCGCTAGTGTTTTGCACTAATTGTGTGTTTTATGCCTTGTAGGTGTGCTTCCGAGCTATATAGATGTTATGGAATGAATTTAAGTGATTTGAAGCTTTGAAGTCTGAGTAAAAGCTCAAGGAATTAAGCCGGGATCGTGTTCGGGGGTCAAATTTGATAATTAAGTACGAACGAAGACTTGAGGAGGCATATTGCGCACTGTCTAGTAAAATAGACATAACTTTTTGCTCAGAACTCCATTTGGGCTCCACAATATATGGTTGGAAAGCTAATTCAAAGGGCTACAACTTTCATGTTTTACGTTTTTCCAAATTCCAAACGGAACAGGGTGAAAACGCGGTCGAAACCGCGACCGCGGAACTAACCGCGGCAGAAATCAGAAAGCTTGTCTGGCCGCGGTCCTACCGCGTTTTGACCGCGGCCGCGCCCCTCCAGGCTTAAAAAAGAAGTCCTATTTCGCCCGGGACAAGTTTATTTCGGCCCTACACTATTCCAACTTGTATAAAAGGGGTCCTAAACCTATTTTGAAGAAGAGGGGACATATTTTGAGACACTACTTTAGATTCAGACAACGACCTAAGGAGGCAAGAACACATTGGGAGCAAGGCGGAGAATTCTTCTACGAGTTTTTCCTTCCTCTTCCTATTTTTCATTGTTGGTTATGACTTTTAGTATTGTAGTTTTACATACTATTATGAATAGCTAATTTGTTATCTAGAGTTTTGATAGAACCTTTTGTAGGATAAATTCTTGTTATGTTTTTATATAATTGAGCCATAGCTTTTCTCTATTTGTTCAACTACGTTTATATTCTGGTTGATTGAAGAGCTCTCAATTAGCTGTGCCTATTTAGTATGCATAACTCGGGAGAGAGTGCATATTTAGGTAATTGTTGAACAACACCACTCCCAGAGTATATGAGGGATCAATAACCGAGGGTTTAAAGGCGGGATTAGGGATAACGAAGCCTTGGGTGCGATCTAAAGTGAGTTGTATTAAAAGCCAGCTAGCGTAGCTCGGGAGAGTGCATCTAGTAAATTGTCGTAATTACTCGGGAGAGATTTACGGTAATAAGAGTGCTCATGATCGGTAGAGAATACTTAGGCGAAATTATAGAAGACATAGCGGGAAGGATTCCGACAATAGGGAAAATCATAACTCTAGACCTCCTTAATCTTTTCTCTAACCCTCAGTATCGTTAGTTGTTAATTTATTATTTTAATTTGTTAGTAAGTAGTTAAACACAAGAATCTTAATATCTATAAGTTAGGAATTGTTCAAGCTTGTCTTCTTGGTGATAGTGAACAGCTGTAGCTAAACCTTAGTTCTCTGTGGGATTCGACTCCGGACTTGTAAACCGGATTATATTTGCAGCGACGCTTAGTCCTTTTTATAAGGCATAGTTGGGCGTGATCAAATTTTGGCGCCGTTGCCGGGGAACTAACGGTGTAGTTGTAGTTGTACATATTGCTAGGTTTCAAGTTTGAACTTTTATTTTATTATTTGATTTTTTTTATTTTTTTTTTATTTTAGTTTTATTTGTTTATTTGAGAAACATGACATCATGGAATTATGAGAATTTTGTTGTTGGTAATTCTACTTTTGATCCTCCTTATGCATATTGTGAAGGAAACCACCCAGGCAATATTATCAAAATATTCCTAAGAGCGAGTTTTGTGCACCAACTCAATCTTATGTGTGGAATGTGTGTGATATGTGTGGTGGTCAAGATGGTCACTTTCACGGCTGTGCTTATATTTCTTACCTTCCCCAACGCTTACTTTGATGGTTCTTCTTTTTCTGGTGAAGTTAATAGGAACAAAGAACCTAGGGAAGCTGACCTAAAAAGCTCGAAGATATGTTAAAGTGCATTTTGGAACAACAGAGTAAATTACTACCGCGGATAGAAAGGCAGGAGGAAACTATTCACAACTTGAAAGTTCACATGAGTCAACTGGTTGAAGTTTTTAATGCTCAACAAGCCAATATTGTGAATAGTATCCAAGAAGAGCGTGAATTAGATACAGAAATTGATGAGCTAGAGGAGGAGGCTAGAGTAGAACACCAACAATCAATCATACTAGATTTTGAGGATGTCGATGTTGTAGAAGAGATACTAGAGTCAACCAAGGATATTGATGATACATATTTAGTTGACTCTATTGTCATTAGTGTTGAGAATGTAGATAGTCCCAATGTTCATGTAGTTGAGCGCATGGGTCCTCACTCCAAGTATTTTTCCACATTGTGTTTAGATGATGATATGGAAATAGAGTCGTCCGAGCCATTTGAGGAGTCAAGGAATGATGAACAAAGTGCTTACATTCTGGAATTCTTCTTGCCAGAAAGTCGGGATTACACACCTCATATGAAGGCCAAGAAGTGCCGAATACTACATTA